CAGGAGGCAGAGGCAAGCAGATCTCTGTGAGTTCAAGGCCAGCTGGGGCTACAGAGAGACCCTGTCTCAAAAAGACCAAAAAAAAAGAAAAAAAAAAAAAGAAAGAAAGAAAAGCATTACATAGTCCCTCTGTGTCATTGTGGTAGGAACTTAGAAAGTATGCTGATTCCTGGACAAAGGAATTGAGTTTTCCACTGGGCAAAAACAGGTAGAACATTCTCTCAAGGGTCCCACATTGTTTTGTCATCCTCAGGAAAAACGCCACCAAGCCCTATTCCAGTCTGCCAGGCGAGGCTGTCTTTGCCAACAGTACTGGGCTGCTGGTGGTAGCCTTCAGCCTGCTGGTTCTCTATGTTCTTCTGGCTTCATCATGGAAGCGTCCAGAGCCAGGACTCCTGACCGACAGACAGGTATGGCTGCTTGTCTATTCCGGGGTGGTTTGGGACCAGGCCTAAGGAAGGACCACCAGGAAAACCTTGCACCTTGTTGAGAAGATTGACACCGTAGCCAGGTGGGAAATCAAGCAGCTTGAAGGAGATGGGGCGCAGATGGGGCACTGGCATCAGAGCAGCCCTGCCCAACAGAGACTCCCCAAGTCCCTTTCCCAGAGTCCTTGGCTTTGTGATATGACACAAAGCCTTACATTCTTCAAGGAAGGGCTTGAGCCTGGTGAGGTCATGTAATGTCATTCTGCCAGCTCTGAGGCTAGCCGAGTGGGATGGGTGTTTGGTGACACATCAAGTGCTTCAAGCAGATCATGCCATCTGGCAGATGTGGGAAAATGTGCTGTGGACAGGCTCAGGGACTTTGGGGCTTTCCTGAAGTATCTGGTGGCTTGGCTGGGGAATCACCCTTCAGGTTAAGGGTCTAAGTGAGCAGCTCGGGCCTGGTGTGGCTCCTGCAGCTCAGGGACCCTTTCAAGGCCATGTCATTAACTCCTATACATCTTCCTTCTTTCTAGCCCCTGTTGCATGACAGGGAGTGAAGCTGGCAAGGGCTCCTGGGAAGTCGACGGTGCGGTCTATGCTCCTGCAGTCTCTGCTCTACCTAGGGCTCCTGGCGGGTTTCAACAACAGACTTTGTTCTGCAGGGACCAAACTTCTTGCCTCGGGGTCAGGCTTGTACTCTCTAGCCACTTGATGTCCATCTACTTTTCTTGATGGCTTTGGTTTCTTGGCATTTTTTTCTGGTTCTCCATCTGCACAAGCTCCTCCTTGCCCCGCTCACTCATGCCACCTCTTCTGGTCTGCAGAACGTGGGCTTCTTTTCCCCTCACCACTCCCAGGGATGTGGTAGAAAACCCTAGCAGCTCGCAGAAGCTGAAGCTCAGGTCTAGTCCATAAACCCGAGGTAGGAAGTCAGCTCTCCCTGGAAGCACTCTGTCCTAGTTTGTTTCTCCACTGCTGTGACAAAACACTCTGACCAATACCAACTTGGGGAGGAAAGGGTTTATCTTATATCTCCCAGGTCACAGTTCATCAGGGAGCCCAAGGTAGGAACTCAGGGCAGGGAACCTGGAGGTAGGAGTTGAAGCACAGGCCATGGAGGAACACTGCTTACTGACTTGCTCCCCTGGCCCCTGCTCAGCCTGCTTTCTTATGCAACACAGGCCCACCTTCCCAGGGGTGGCACGACCCACAGTGGGCTGGGCCCTCCTACATCACTCAACTATCAAGAAGATGCCCCATGGACATGGCCATAGGCCAGTCCAATGAAGGCAATTTCCCAATTGAGGCTCCTTCAACCCAGTGTGTCAAGTTGACACTAAAGCTATCCAGCACATACAGGCTGTCAGGCTTCTGCTCTGTTTCTGCATTTTGTCCTGGATGTGCATTTGGGCAGGCAGAGGCTTTGGGAGGTGACTGAGGGATGGTGGCAACAGGAGCAGCCCTTGGGAAGTCGATGCTGACTGCTCTGTGCTGCTCTGTTCACGTGGCTGCACTGTATTGTGTGTTGTGACCATGTGGCTCTACCTCTTCTAGTTGCTGCATCAGCTGCTGCCTGGATCCTGCCCTTTTCCTGTGACTTACATACCTGTCCCCCTGGGGCAGCCCTTTGAGCCCTGGTAAACCACACTCCTGAGAATAGCCAGCCTGTCCCTAGAGTCCCAAGTAATGAGTGACAGAGATTTCAGTGGCCTTCCTTCCCTCCCCTTGCTGAGTGTGGGCTTTCCTGCCCACTCTTGTTGGGCCCTACCCTGGCGGGACCTAGCCCAACAGACCTGTCTCCAGCCCACCATGAAATTGAGGCCAGCGCTGTGAAGCATCATGCTAGGCAGAGCCCTAGGAGCCACCGCTACGTTCAGAGGTGTTCCTCAGTAAGAACTGGGGTACTTCCTCTGCTCCTCCAGTGGCTGCTTTTCTGAACCCAGTCTCCTGTGGTGTGCCATAGCACAAGCCTTCTCTCCTGAAGGGAAATGTTGGAGTCTTGTTCCCTCTTCATGTTGGCATATGGCTCTTTGTGCCTTCTTCAGAGCAGCCTGCAGTCCCAGGCTGCAGACTGCTGTGCTCAGCAGGCAGGCTGGATGAGGCTGGGGTTCCTGTACTCCCTGCCAGTAGTGATCAGGCTGAACTTCCATGAAGGCCTTGCTGCCAAAAGTTGGGCTGGACTTCTTTCATATTGTTGGGGTGACTGGGCATGTTGGTCATGACAAGCTACCCTGGTTAATACATGAGTGGGTATTTTACTTCTTCAAGAAGCTGGTTTTCATTAAACATGTTTTTTAAACATCAAAGCTGTCTTGTCTGTCTGGGCTGCTGCAATAGCACCAGACTTGGTGCTTATACAGCAAACTAATTTCTTGTACTTTCAGACAATGGAAATCCAAGATCAAGGCAACAGCACATGTGTCTTGAGAGCCACTTCCCCTCCATCTTCTCACTGTAGCCTTGCATGGAGCAGGCTGCACATTGCTCCCCAGGCCCTCTCAGAAATGAGGGATACAGCCCCATTCTTAAGGGCCCTTCCCTCACCCCTACTCACAAAGGCCTGACCTAATTCCACCACATTAGGGGTAGAGATTCAAGCATGAGTTTGGGTGGGATACAAGCCTTTGGTAACATGACAGTGTGGTTGAATGAGAGTTGGGGAAAACTACAAAAGCCTCAGGACAGACTTGACCCTCACAAACCTAGAAAAGGGCCAACTGGAAGGCAGCAGAAATCCATGACTTGTTTTCATAGAGTTGGGACTTTTTTTTTTTTTTTTTTTTTTTTTGGCTTTTTTAAGACAGGGTTTCCCCGTAGCCCCAACTGTCCTGGAACTCGCTATGTAGACCAGGCTGGCCTTGAACTCACAGAGATCTGCCTGCCTCTGCCTCCCAAGTACCAAGATTAAAGGTATGTGTCACCACACTTGGCTGAATTGCATGTTATTTATATGTATGGATGTCCTTAACAATGGTTTTAAGGACACATGCTCCTTTTATTAGGAAACAAAATATACCATCTTAAAGTCTAGAAGACAAGACTTAAAAAGGGGGGGATGGGGCTGGAGAGATGGCTCAGCAGTTAAGAACTGGGTTCAAATCCCAGCACCCATATAGCAGCTAAAAACTGTCCATAACTCCAGTTCCAGGGGATCTGACAGCCTCTTCTGTCCTCCACGGGCATTTCATAACACGGGTGCACTTACCTACATGCAGGCAATACACCCACACACAAAATTAAAAATTTTTTTAATGGAAGTGGGGGTAGGGGCATAGAGGAGAGCAAGTGACTGGCCTGAGGTCACTCAGCAGAGCAATGTTAGATTTAGGATCCACAGGTTACAGTGCGAAGCTAGTCTCCCAGCTGCTGAGCACATAAACCTGTATGCTGACAACCGACTTTGTCATCAGGCACTTCTAATGTAGCAGACGGACGTAAGACCCTAGGCAGAGTGGCCTGGAAACCAAGGAAACCCACTGACAAGGCTGAGCAACACAGCCATGGGATCCCTTTCTTAGTGTGGCCATTTACAGATGATGATGTGGTGGAGATGACCTGACACTAGAGAGAACACTCATTCCTGGTGGTTGAACACCAGACTATTCAGGGTCCTCATCTTCATCTGAATCTTCACATCCCTGTGTGATGGGTCCCATTCTGAAGAATCATTAGTTTTTGTTTGTTTTGGTGTATGTAGGCATGCACATGAGCCAGCATGAATATGGAGGCCAGGGGACAACTTTCTCTCCTGCTAAATACAGGCATGAGTTCCCAAGGTTGGTTTCAAACAACCAACTTTCTCAAGGTGGATATGAGCCACCTCTGCTGAGAATGCACTGTATGTGGTGTCCCTGCAGCACCAGTCAGCACCCCTCCAGCTGGTCAGGGTACAGGCAATGATTGCTTTAGAAAGATATTGGGGCTGGTGTGACTGCAGCTTCTAAGACTTAAAACATGGAGAGGTTCTTCTGGTGACCAAATGCCCATGTGTTTCCTCAAGAACCTGAATTGTTGGCCTGGTGCTGAGACAAGCCTTTCTGCCACTCTGCTGTGCACTGAGGAGAGGGGAGCCCCATGGAACCACAGCTGAGCAGAGATGATGCTCTCCCTGCTGGGAGGTGGGTCATGGTCACTGTAGCCAGGGCAGAAGTACTGAGAAGAGGCAGCTTATGGCTTCAATATGTTTTATTAGCTTTCTACACCACAACTCAGGTGCAGGCAGCCTTTCAGAAGGAGAGGCTTGGAGTCTTGAAACCATGTTGGCACACCTAGCTGTGCCGCTCCCAGGGAAAAGCCTTATCACAGGCACCCAGGGCTGCTTGTGGCAGGGTAGACATGATCTGGGACTCCTCATTGAGGAAGGAAAGAGCAGTGCTGGCGGGATGCCCGAGTCATCCAGCCAGATGCTGTCTGCATGGAACAGAGGAGGTGTGGAGGATATTCTGTTCCATGTAGATGGATGTTAGGGTGAGCGAGGGCAAAGGTGCCCACTGGAGGGCAGAAGGAAGTGACGGGGCACCTCAGTATAGCGAGGAGAGTGGAGGAGGGAGGCAGTCAGGCTCTCTGGATCTGCAAGACCTCCAGGATGGCACGGAGGATGGCAGCAGCTGCCACTGCTCCAGGGTCTGGTTGCTCCAGCCGTGAAGAGCTGATGTAACTGGCTCTCCCGGCACCAGCCTCCATGTTCTTGGTGGCCTCGGCTGCAGCTTCTGCACTCTGAGGGAATGTGAGAGTAGGCTCAAGGACAGGCCACCAAGTCTTCTTCCTGCTGGGCCTCAAGTCTGACCATGGACTTGCCTTCTTCTGCCAGCAGCCTTTGTACCATCACCAAGTAGAAAGGTCACCTCTTTTCCAGTAGGGAAAGGGACCCATATTTACTGAGCCCCTACTATGTCCCAGGCACTGGGCCGGGGTCAACCTATTTCCCTAGCCACATATCCCTTTTCTTTCTTTCCTTCCCCTCTTCCCCTTCTTTCTCTTCCTCTTCCCCTTCTCCCCACCCCCTTCCCCTCTCCCCATCCCCTTCCCTTCCCCTCCCTTCCCTTTCCTTTCCTCTCCTTTCCTCCCCCTTTCCACTTTCCTTTCCTGTCTTTTTTTTTTTTTTTTGGCTTTTTGAGACAGGGTCTCCCTGTAGCCCCAGCTGTCCTGGAACGCACTATGTAGACCAGGCTGGCCTTGAACTCACAGAGATCTGCCTGCCTTTGCCTCCCAAGTGCTGGGATTAAAGGTGTGTGCCACCATGCCTGGCTCCTTTCCTCTCTTTTTGAGATAGGGTCTCCCTGTAGCCCCAGCTGGCCTGGAACTCGCTATGTACATCAGACTGGCCTTGAACACACAGAGATCCACCTGCTTCTGTCTTCCAAGTGCTGGGATTAAAGATGTACACCACCATGCCTGACTTTATAACCACTTTCTGTTATAGGTGCTCACCTCTATTTTATTTTATTTTTAAAATTTATTTTTATTCTATGTGTATGAGTGTTATGTCTGCATATATGTAAGTACACTTGTGTCACGCAAAGCTGGTAGAGGCCAGAAGAGGGCATCCGATCCCCTGGAACTGGAATTACAGACAATTGTTAAACACCATGTGGGAGCTAGGAATAGAACCCAAGTCCTCTGCGAGAGCAGCCAGTGCTTTTAACCACTGAGCCATCTCTCCGGCCCGTCACCTTTATTTTATAGATGTGGAAATGAAGGTAAAAGGTCATTAACTTTTTCAAAACCACATGGAGAGGGAACTTGGTAGTTCCTTGAGTGTCCAGGCCAGCTTCACTTACCTTGACTGCTTTAGTCAGGACCGAGAAGAGATTGGCTCCTGGGTTCTTCCAGGCTTTGAGCTCCTGTCCTGCTGCCCACAGAGAATCCAGCTGGACAAGGTCAGGGAGAGATAGGTTGAGGAGGACCCTGCCACTGAAAATAGCTTTAGGGCTTGTGGGCTCAAAAGGGAGGAGGGCAGTCAAACTCTGAGTACATACCATAGTCCTGTCTCCTGGTGCAGCCTTTCCATACCTGGCAGAGAAAATGGGCAAGGCTCACTGTAGGTGGTCACTTGAAGTATGGACATGGGGCCTGGTAGGGAACAGGTGACATCAACCACCTCCCCAGCACAGCTCAGGTGCTAAGGCACAGGGCTCTGGCTTACTTCTGCATGGCCTCTAGGCCGGCATCCATAGCAGCAGACCAGGCTGGTAGGTCAGTCTTAGCCTTGAGAGGCTGAGCAGCTGCAGTCAGGAACAGGCCATAGAGCTGGGGAGGACCCAAATGCTGACTGAGCATGTGGAGCTGACTGGCGACAAGCCAAGCCTGCATCCGTCCCTGTCAGCCCATGCCTGACCAGCACTCACCGCCCCAGATGAGCCTCCCATCCTTTCCAGCAGCAGGACAGACAGTCTGGAGAGTAGCTGGGAAGGGCTGGCTGGGGCTGGGCCCTCCTTTAGCCAGTCTTGGATAGCTGCAGACAAAGTGACAGAGGCCTTCAGAGGTGCTGCCTGTTTCTTCTCTCTGGCCCTCTGCTAGTGTTCTACTGATTGGTTTTATTTACTGAAGGATGTGATTCCTGCTTGCTTTTTCTTGTTCTCTCTCTCAGTCTCTGTCTCTTTCTCTCTTTCTACACAGGGTCTCCATAGTCTTATAGAAGCCTGGAATTCACTGTGTAGCCCAGGCTATCCTCAAACTTTCAGCAATCATCAAGTACTGAGATTATATGCATGAGCCACTATGACTGGCTTTGTTCACTCTTGAACCACAGAGAACAGCACCCGACTTGAGGTGGGTTTACATGCATTTGTCTTGAACAAACAGAGTGGGACAATTAGGGCTTTTTGGTGGTACTGGCAATGGAGAGCACTAAGGACAGTGGAATGGATGCGACCCCTGTCCCCTGAGATCTCCCCTGTGTGTGAGAAATTCCTTTCCTTAGGGAAAACAAGGTGAGAGGGTGCTAGAGTACGGCAGATGACCTTACTGGTGAAAGAAGAGGCAGCAACCTCACAAAAGCCCTGACATGTTCTGGAAATCGTTTCACAAAATGCCCAAATCTGTGCCGTATCAGCCCCCTGGGCACCCTGAAGGAGCCAACCTTTGGCAGCACGGCTGTGGGTAGTGCCGCAGTCCCCATCACCAGCGGCCCGGTCCAGGGCATTCAAGTGTTCCTCCAGACCCAAAAGGGTGGTACACACCCGCTCCAACACAAGCACCATCTGCTTCGAGGCTTCTCCTAGAAAGGGAGAATAGTAGGCAGAGGCCCAGCTGCTCTTCATAGCCAAACTTGACTGGTGTGGGAGGTATGGATGCCATGGTCCCTATACACCCCACCCTGCACCCTTTGGTGTTCAAAGTCCTGGCCACCAAGGGTACCTGCCCCTCCCCATCAGCAGGGCCCAATACCTCCTGCTGCAGTGGCCTCAGGGACCTCCTGAGGCTCAGTGGGAGCTGCCCGGATCCGCTTCTGCCCAGTCACAGAGATCTTGGCCACATTAGGCCAGGCTACTGCACTGGTTTCAGCATCTAGGGACAGCCACATAACTTTCTCAGACACGGCTACCTAGGCAAAATCAAGTGGGGCCTGGATTCCCCACCTAGTCCTGAGGACTGGCTCCCTGGGCATCCCGCAAGAAGGGGTCCACATCAACAAAGATGTACCGAGTGCCTACTGCATACAAAAGACAGGGAGGGTCCCTGGGGAGAAGTTCAGGCAGATGTGAGGCAATCCCTAATACCAACTCTCTGAGAGCTGAAGAAGGCTGAAAAGCCAGAAAGGGCCTCTTTATGGGTCTAGAGCACAGATTGTCACCATCAGCTGTGATGACCCTAGGCTCTAGGTCTTACCAATCAACTTGAGAAGGGGTTCATCCACCAGCAACAGGGTAAGGGAAACACCAGGCATCTCCAGAGCTGACATGAAGGTGCCCACAAGGGCACGGGCGACCTTTACCCCACGGCCCTCTGCAATGCCAAGAATGGAAGCCCATGAGGGAGGGATAGAAACTACCCCAGAGCATCTTAGAAAGAAACTGCATAGCAAAACAAGGACCTTGCAGGCTATAGCCCTGAGGTCAGTAGGGAGAGAGCCAGATTCCTCAGAGCATCCCGTGGTGATACTCCATTACCATATTCCCAGAAGATATCCCCTCCTGAGGGACAGACAAGTAACATAGCTTTCATTTGCTGCATTCTTAGCAGGTGTCATGTCTTATGTATACCCAACCTTATCTAATTCTCACAGCCTCTGCATAAGGCAGGTACTGCTATTATTACTCCTAGGCTAAGGACCCCAGCAACTCAGAGGCAAAAGTGACAGTTAAATTCAAGCTCATAAGACTTCTCAGCTAATATTCTAGAACATCACAGGCCCCTGCCTCAGCTGATTTTCTTATGCCCAGCTTCAAAGGGTTGAGGGTCTCCATGCAGTGGGCTTACCTAGCAAGCGCACGGTGGCATCAGCTATGATGCCCAGTTCCAGGAAGGACAGGCCACCCAGGTTGTTGACCATTAGTACCACTGAGGAGCCTGTAGAGTGATGTGATACCCCCATTGAGACTTTTGGTGGTCTCTACCCAAAGGGTTAAGAAGGGCTAGGAAACTGGGGACAACAGGCCACTTGCCTGGCTGCACAGGCACATGGGAAGCATTGGAGGCACTGGTCATGTGGTCAAGCATGAGTGTGACAATCTGATCGACAGGTGCCATCTGTGAGAAAGAGCAGGAGTGAGCTGTGTCTGGGAAGTCTTGGAGTGGGGCTGCACTGGCAAGGTGTCTACGTACCTTTATCCGGTGCACACCAGCTTCTCCATGAATCCCTGTGGAGAGACATGATCATTACTGGCCGGCATAGGGCCTGTTGATTCTCTTGCTATGCTTTTATCAAGGACTTAACTAAGTGTTTAGCATGGGTCTAGACACCATGAGTGTGGGCGGTGGGTAGAAAAGGAAAAGAATGAAAACCAGGGCAGTATATGGTCTGACAGTGGGGCTAGCTGGGGAACTGGAGTAATGGTAGTTTGAAGTCGCAGAGGCCCTAGGAGGCTGATGTCTATTGCTTTAGAAGCACAGGGGAAAGGGGAAAGTGTTCCTCAGAGCCAAGTTGGCTTTGAGCTAAAGGGCACATCTGGGCTTAAGCAGGGGAACCTGGTAAAGATGGAGGGTAGATGGGGGCATAGAACTCTATGTGGCCAGAGCCTGGGAATGGATGGCAAAACAGGTAGATGTCAGGCAGGCTGGTTCAGGTTGGGTCTCAAGTGCCTACCTATGAATCCAGAGACCACCTAGGGGACAGCCCTAAATGAGCAGAGAGGACCAGGTAGGTGACTCCAGGACCATGGAGGTGAGCAAAACTCAAGGCAGAGAAAAAGGCAGGGCAGGGGTTGGGTGACCACAGGCTTACCCAGGCCCAGCTCCACCTCGTCGGCTGCGAGCTGAAAGGTGGGTTTGGAGCCAGGAACGCTGCAGGAGGACAAGCTCACTCCCAGGGTACCTAGAAAAATGAGGTAGGAAAGGGATGGTGGCTGTGTTCTTGGCAGAGCTAAGAGAGCAGCAGCAATGTTGTGGAGGCCCTGGCTGTGGGCATCCTTTGCTGAGCAGGCTGTCCAACTCTATCTTAGTGGTGAAGAGAAACCCAGGTCTGGGATCCAAGGCTTCCAGGCTCCAGGGTTTCCCCCCCAGGGAATCCCATAGGCAGTCCCCTATGCTGCTGGTAGGAGCCTACTCTGATACCCCAGGTCTTCCCCATTGTCCCATCCCTGGCCTAGCACTCACCCATGGCCTTGGCGATCACGCTCACCCGCTTTGTGATCTCCTCCAGCCCCATTCCTGCCTCAGCCAGAGCACCTGCCACCTGTGCCATGCGGAGGGAGAGCATGGAATGGGAGAGGAGTCACTGGACTGGACCACTCAGGGGCAGAAGAGGGCCTGAGGACTTCCTTGTTGGGAGGGAGAAATCTCAGGATTTTTTTTTTTTTGTCTTTTTGAGACAGGGTCTCCTTGTAGCCCCAGCTGTCCTGGAACTCACTATGTAGGTCAGGCTGGCCTCGAACTCACAGAGATCCACCTGCCTCTGCCTCCCAAGTGTTGGGATTAAAGGTGTGCGCCACCGCGCCTGGCAAATCTCAGGATTTTTATACTCAACCTGGTCCATTACATTCAGGGCAGAAAAATGTTCTCTCCTTATTCACAATGCACCCCTGGAAGTATTCAAGAATTTCTATTTGGGCATGGGGATGTGGCTTTGC